ACGTAGCGTCTCTTCGTCAAGCTCCTTTCGATTTTTAACATAAGATTTTCGGTTAGTAGAGTGATATATGGATAAGAAGTACAAAGTAACGTGTGAATTACATCTTCATTTGCAGCAGATCTTGACCACTTTCTTGCGTGGTGTAATCAGAATTTTTTGTAGTTTTTATTACGAGATTCTTAAGCGTTTTCTGAGTTGTCCGATAGGTAACACTGCAAAATGGTTAATTATACCTTCTCTGTGAATCACGATATTTTGTGTGCCAAGATATCATACCAATCATATTTATTTCTTGCGGTTTCTAAAGCATATCACCCTATATTTTTGAGAATCTATTATTATGCCAGGCGATAAGGCTTGGAAGATTACATAGTCTCTTTATCAAAATTTCATCTATGGATGAAAGTTTTGGCGCAGTAGTGACCGCGTAGTTACCCCTTAATGGCGAATCTGTTTCTATTTACTAGGCAACATCGTTTAAATTCCTCGGAATAATACAACCAAAGGTGGCCGCGCGAACACCGCTAAGACCAAAGACAAGCCAGCTTCGCCCACGCGCCACACTCATTTAAGTTACGTAAAAGAAAAATAAATAGAGCGTATTTTGCCATGACAGTTAGATGCACGCGGTCGCTGCGCGGCGGCCACGTGGCGTGAGCGCGATGAAATTCGTGTCGAATAAACGCGCCCTTACGGCACAGTTGTAGGATTCCCTGACTGCAAATTTTTTCTCTGAACGCTATAATTTGAGACTTTTCAAGGCTAAACTGGATAGGCGTGCAATGCCGGCGCTGACTCTATGCATGTAGCGTCCGGGTGCAATCAACCCTGGCGCCCTCTAGTGTACACGCGATCAAAATGGAATAAATACCGTTATATTTTCCCCAGTGATCGGAAATTGGGGTGCAAATGGTACAATTCTAAAATGATGTTATGTAGCAATAGCCAGTTTCCTTCGCTAACGCGAACGCCTCGAGCGACCTAAGCTCTTTGGAGGCGCTCGGTGGGCCCTGCGCTCGTGTGCGCCACACACCCTGCATCGTAAGTGAATCGTCACTTTCCTTCAGATGAGGTGGAGATATTTGACCTCCATGCACTTATTTTAACAATTAAAAAAGTTCTAGAAGAATCGGCACATAAAATGTGTAAATAATGTCTTACTCCACGGGAAGCCTACACTATAAAAGCTAGTTGTAGTTTCTATCTACAATTAGGCTTTATAAGGTTGCTACATCTATCTACACTTATACTCTAGCCAAATTCGATGTAGAATAAATGTCAACAAACAAAAACGTATGATTTTTAGGGTTTTCATCTCAGACTCTTTCACAGTTACTATACAATTTCAATAATTTCCTACGAAATTCAACTAGATTGTGGATAATACTAAATCTTGAAGCCATGTTTATAATGAATAATATTCAACAAAGTTTCAAATCACCTAAAAATGACCAGTAATTAATTATTTGTAAAACTGTGTCATCCCCAGTGACTTTTTGATTTGAAGTGAGAGATTGCAAACATTCGAGTTCTAGTGGTAATTCAAGTTCAGAATCGGAAATAGACGCTGGATGGTTTTAAATGTGGTAAATTAATATCAAATAAAATCTTACAATTTTGTTTCTTTTCATCTACCATTACCTACCATCTAGCAGTAAATATTAATAGGACGCAAAGACTTATTTTTATTCCTAAATCATACGTATCAATTGGTATTTTATAAATTTTATAATAATTGTCTAGGTAAGTATTACTTCTACATAACCCAATTACTTACTTACCTATTTAAATTCCAATTAAGGGAGCAGGCCGTGGGCAGAGCAAGCCTTAATAATGAGCATTGAAAAAAATTTTCTTTTCCTATGCCATCATTGGTTGCCTAGCAACGTTTTGTTATTAAACATTCTACATCGAATTTGGCTAGAGTATAGCAACTTAGAGTGTTATAATATGTTCTAAGCTTAGCAAGATATAATTACTCGTAGTACCAATACCAAGTAAACATAACATGTAAGAAGCTGTAACGAACATATTCACTGCTATCACGCTATTATGGTTTAACTCCTGTCCAATCCATATTCGCAGTTGAAATTTGAATACTCCGTCATCGTAATTTACGTAATAACTATTAAGTAATCTGTGTCATAACTTTCGATGAGAAAAACCTACTTAAATCACCATTTCAACATGACGCGACGCGACGCTTCGACTCTGCGTCAGTGTGAGTTGAGCCTAACACTCTATGATCTGTTTGCATTTTAAAATAAAATAAAAAATCGGGCCGTTTTCCAAGTATTAATAAAACCAAAGGTCAGTGAGCCTTCAATGGCCTTCGGTTTTATTAAAATTCACCACTATCAAAACAATTCATCAACCGTAACCTTTTTTCGAAGAAAACATGCCGTGCAATAACACACTGCGAAAATTCCTGCAGATATTTAGGACTTATTTGGGATTCTTCATTTATTCATAAAATTGTTACAATTACATGGATTTTTAATTAAAAGGTCGAGTTACTTGAAAATCCACTTTATGAAATTAATATAATATATTATAACAAACTTACTTGCAAAAAATAACTAATGAAAACTATCAAACAGCACTTTCGACTTCCTTCTGCATGATTAACTTTAGATATCCTACAATGTTTAATGCTCAGTTTTCAATTTTTTGACTGCTACGCGGACGTCACTTCAATCTTTATGTCTTAAACCACTTGGGCATTTTGCTGGGATTTCCTGAAGAACTTTTCTTGGAACTGGAAGGAGCATCCAATTTTCTCCTGGAAGGTGCTCTGTAATGTAAGTAGAAGACAATATAGTACACATGTTTTGCAGTGTTAGTTAATCCTTAATTGGTCGAGTGAAGTGTTTAACACCCCACCATTAGGTTTCTAGACTCATAAGTTTTTAAAATTTGAACTTACAGCGCCTGTCTTCAGCCTAGCTTCGTAAACGGGATTGTAATTCGCAATTCATTCGTAATCTGTGCTCGTTTGTGTATAGTTGTGCTTGGAGAGCATGTTTGGGGTGCCTAAAACCCCTAAAACCCCACGCGACTGTTTGTATAGACAAAATTGCGTAAGGTAAGTAAATATTTTTTATTATTGTTACGCATTTAAACAATACAGATGGACAAACAATACATTGCAGCGATATTTATAAAACGAATATATTGGTATTTTAAAGATTATGTTGTGATGTGGCGTTTTTTTATTTATTTTTGTTTTAAGGTAGGTGTAAAATGTCACGTGCTTTGACTGATTGACAGATTACGCAGCATTTGAGAGACGAAGAAGAAGAAGTATACATATACAATGACAAGTATACATAGTGCTTCTGGTGAACAACGTCATGATGCCATCGTAAGGGACCATAACATCTGCATCAGAGGAAAGTGAAAACGAAAACAAAGTCATTCGCACATAAGCATGACCGCTACTAAAACGACACAAGATGCTTCAAAATGAGGACCCTGAATCAGCATCTGGAGCAGCCCGATCACCTTCATATAAAACGATGTCACATAATTATGTCCGAGAATCAAGGACCGAAAAACAAAGAACGGATTGTTCCAAATGCCAATGCCACACATGGTGTGTGCAATGATTACATAATTCTAGTCTGCCAAAATTGTGATGATGAAAATTCGGTTTTAGAAATGGTATTGTTTTTTTTATTTATAAAATGTTTTATAAGTCAAAAAGACATAAATGATAAAAAATGTGGGTCTAAGTATTTCTTTTTAATCTTTACTTATTTAGGTACTTTGATCGTTATTGAGCATGTTAGCTCCATTAGTAAAACGGTACATCAAGAAAACACTTAATAAAATCCAGACAGATAAATCAAAATGCTACCTAACTAAACATGTATACAAAATCTCCGCGGCACTACATGTTGGCTCCGACAAAACAAGATTGAAACCACCTAACATTAAATGTACGGAGAGCAGCCTGTGTAAATAACCGCGCCCTGATAGGTTCTGTAGTCTAGGCTCTACTCTATGAGTAGAATCTCTGGCTGAATGAATAGTTTTGTAATTAGAAAGTTTAGAAAATGAAGTAAGAGAAAAGAATGGAGCATCTTGACATTATTGAATTGTAACCCAACGGCGAAATTATTGAAAGAATACAATAAACCAAGTTTTGAAGATTATTCCACTTTAAATTCAGAAAAATACCTCTCGCTACACATCCTAAGCTTCGCCCCAGTTACAGTTCCGTCCGAACACACTCCATGAGCAAATGATGTACATCCTCAGGAATCCCACATACTTCGCAATTCAGTGAGTTCACCCACCGCATCAAATACAAAAAATTGTATTTGATGCATTCTGCATGGTCTTGTACCAGATGCCTTTTTTCTGGGACCTCATATCGAAATAGTCCCCTTCGGTGCAAACGGTCTACTTTCCCGATCGGTCCGCTTTCACTATTCGTCTACTTTCCCGATTGGTTCACTTGTCTAAAAGGTCCACTATCTCGATTCGTCTATTTCCCATTTCGTCTACTTTCCCGAACGGTCCACTTTCACTATTCGTCTACTTTCTTGATCGGTCCACTTGTTTTACCCAAATATAGAAAAAAGGGCTTTACCCGATTCGTCCATTTCCCATTTGGTCTACTTTCCCGATCGGTCCACTTGTTCAATAGTCCACCTTGCAAGTTTATAAAATTTTATGTAAGTTAATAAAATTTTACAAAAATAGAAATTCATTTTACAAATTTTCAAACGCAGTTTGTAATTGCATAATTGCAGATTGTCATGGAGTACATTTTTTATACTTTTGATAATGATAGCTACTTTACGTTAACCATGATGTGAAAAAACAAAATCAAGTAGACGTTTGTTTTTAACTGACTTCAAAAAAAGGAGGAAGTTCACAAAGATGTAATTCCACGAATTTTTGATGTCGGGTTTTTTTAGTACTCTGTACTGAGATTATCTGAGTAGACGCATCATTAAAGTAGACCTATTAGGAAAGTAAACCGATCGGGAAAGTAGACCGATCGGGAAAGTAGACCGATCGGGAAAGTAGACGAAATGGGAAAGTAGACCAAACAGGAAAGTAGACGAAATGGGAAATAGACGAATCGGGAAAAACAAGTGGACCGATCGGGAAAGTAAACCAATTGTACCGAAGGTACAATTGGTTTACTTCTTCCAACGAGAATGGAACTTGCTCTTATAGCTTGCAACCACTTCAGAGAAGTCAGGCACAATGTCAACCTCAGGCCCCTCTCAAGCAGTCGCAGTGGCTAACCGGTCGACTTCCTCATTCCCTAGCAAGCCAATATGTAACGGCACCCATGTCATTAATAAAAGTCTGATTGCAAAATCAGTGAAATAAAATACGAAATACATGCAAATGTATTTCGCATTTTATTTCACGATTCTAATTTGGGGTGATGCACACCCCACGCGACTAATTGTGTAACTTTTTTGGCGCGACTAACTAAGTTAACCAACTTAAAAAAGTTGCTCCGAGAGAACAACATTATCGTGACTACAATACGTCATTAATTACCTGTACTTTGAAGCTAGGATACAAGCCGCATCACTTGACGTTTGTTGTTCATAAATTTCTTCTTTTAGGCAAATTTGACTTCCTGTATCAATCAGCCATTTAAAATGCAAATGCACACATGGCACAAATTTGGCTTGAAGTAGCGTCATCTTAGGATCTAAACTTTCCTTAAAAGGTGTAGTGACTGCAATCATTTAAGTATCATTAGAAATTTTCTATTAAGCAATTTATCAGTTTTTTCTAATTAAGCACTTACAGATAAGAAATGGTTTATCTGGTTCTTCAAGGTGTTGTTTTATAAAATTCATAACATCTTGAATTGTATTAGATGGTGTAAAAATGCCTTGTAATATTATTTGATCTGGAAACTGCACTCTTACCACGACGTTTTTATATCCTGACAATCTCAATTCTGAAGCCTGTGAATAATAGCAAAACGAATAAGTAATTTTTTACTAATATCAACAAATTATGCATATAGATAATTTCGTCTGTAGCTCATTACCTGTTTGTCAATTTCTTCTCGCTGAGCTGCAGTCATGAGGGGTGTGTTTTCTAACTCTGATGTGTGTTGTTGTAAATCTTTATAAAGATTGCGTACTTCTTCTATAGTTAACTCGTAGAAGTCATCGGGGAGGTCAGTCAATTCACTATGTGACTCAGTTGGCATAAAAGCAATTGCTTTTTGAGCTCCCAACTGAAAAGAATCCAATTAAGCTTTAGGTGTCTTTTGCAAGGTCACCAACTATATCACATTAACTACTCACAAATGTAACTTCTTCTTCAATTCTAAGCCTTCTCTCAAGTTGATCTTGTGTTTCAAGGGATGTGCTGGAGCAAGAGTCATCCAAGTTTTTAACAGGTCCACTTTGACCTGCTCTGTTAATTGATTCTGTGTTTCGTGCTTCCATGGGCATATCTTCATTGTTGGTACTTTGAGGCACATTGGTAGTCGTTTTTGGTACACTATCATTTGGTTTGGTTTCAAATTGTTGTAATTGAGGTTTTTTTATTTCTTTAATGGCTTGAATGGGGTTAAAATGTTTCGTGTCTTTCGAAAAACGGGATGGTCCTGGTTTGTTGTCCGTAAGCATGTCATCAGTTTCCATGTGTCTATGTGTTTGCTCCTTATCAGGTTTTGTTACTGACAACTTTCGATAAACAGATGACACATTCGCTTGCCTGAAATAATAAGTAATTTTTTTTTAACATCAAGTGACGGGACGAATAAGTGCGCCTGAAAATATTCGTGATTGTGCATTCTTTACTATTTGATAAAAGATTGTGCATTTTTTACTATTTTATAAACTACCTTTTCGACAAGTTTGTACTTACTTTCCCTCCGCATCTTTATTTAAGAGTCTCAGTACAGCCCTGCCCCCTATCAAGCCTAGCTGCCTCAGAGTCTTTTCTTTAAGAGCACGGACACCAATAACTTCTTGCCTCATATACATGATAGTGGGCTGTTGGAGAGCTTTGACTTCATTTGGTGCAAGTGATTGCAGAAGATCAAACAGGCATGTGTTTGGTGGGAAATCAGCTGTTCTACGCTCACCTGAAAACAATAAAAGATTTTCGTTATAAAGGGCAGTCTTTAAAGGAGTAAAGTGACAGGACGAACGAATATGTCATGCGCCTGGTGATAAGTGATACGCCTGTCCATAGCAGTTGCAGTGCTACTCAGACCTTTAAATCGCAAAGATCTGAGGGACACTGCCACTGCACCTGTCACACCACCTGTTCACCAGCACCCTTTACCCTTCAAAACAGAAATATAGTAACGCTGCATTGCAGGCATGTCCGGCGTGTGAGGATCAGCGGTCGTCCGTGACCGCAGTGGTAGGACACGACTTCTCTCTGCCCACCGTGGTTCGAGCTATGGTCGGTAGCGAGACGGCGGGGAGTGCGGTGGCTTCTTTCTGCACTGATGTAATGTCGAGGAAGGATACGGCGGAACGGGAGCGAGAGGAAGATCCTTCCTCTCATTCTATGCGCCGGAAACACTTGGGGCGCGGGAGGATGGCTTATGCCCGGAGAGTGGACCTTGGGAGTCAAAAAAGGGGGCTTTTGTCACCCATTAGATAAGGGTTCTCGGGTTGGTTGGTGTGCCAAGTATTCCCGGCATACCACTTACGATGGAGGGGGAATGGTAATCCCTCAGGGGTGAGTCCGTGGTGGCGGACAACCGCAGACGGGGCCGTGGATTGCAAACCACGTAGCCACAGCCCCGTCTCACGCGGGGTGTGGGAATACCCCGGGGGTTTTTAGCGGATTGGAAGGAGAGAGGTGGTCTCCCTCTCACGCTCCGTAGCTTCCTATTGCAACATCACGCGGTCCCAGAAGGATACTACCACCTTCCACAACCTGTCGCTTTCGAGCAATGATTGATCAATGCAGGAAGTTATTTATTTATTTATTTATTTTGTACAACTTACACTTACAGTACTTATAACTAAACATGTAAGTCATAGTCACAAAAAAGGTTGAGTCGATCACCGGCCAAAGATAGGATGCGGAATTTGGGCCACAGAGCTTTGGGGGGTGACCGAATAGTAACCAGCGGATGTTAGAAATTTTGATTCAGTGTTGCTGAACACGTCAATATCATTTGTTTTGCTTAAGGATTCAATTACGGCTAGGGCTTCGAAGAATGGTGTCCGTCTTAGTGTCACTGCGCGGGTTAAATGAAAGTTGAATAGAGGGTATTTGCGCTGACGAAGGATGTAACGTGAGATTGGCGGGATAAAAAGTGACGGGTCATCCCCCACCGCAGCAACGAGATCACGGCGCTCATTGGCCCAGTCTGGGCATACCTGCAGCGTATGCTGCGCCATATCTTCGCAGCAGTCACAGTGGTGACATATGGTTGTAGGTTCCCACCTGGCTATATGGCACAGGTACTTTCCGAAGTATCCATGCCCGGGAAGCACCTGCACCAACCGGAAAGTTAAGGATGGGCGACATGTTCATCCAGTTTTCAAAAACCGGACGGATAGCCTCTACAGTCCTGCTCCCAGTTCTGGGTTGGGCCAGTCGCTCCCACCACTTTCTAAGCAGGGACTGTCGCGCATGGAAATTCCATATCTGCACTTATTGCAGCGTGGGGTCCTCGCCGCGGAGACGGAGGTCAATGCGCCATTGATACATGGCAACATAGACCTCCGCCTCCAGATCCCAAGGAGAAGACCCCGCTAACAAACATGCGACCTCATACGATATGGTGCGATATCCTCTGATAACTCCGACTGCCATCAATTTATCAATCAATCAATCATCAATTCAAATTGCAAACTTGAAAGTAGGCGTAAATATTCTGCTATGCAAATAGTTTTTCAAAACTACCCTTTAATAGTGGTGAAATGGGCTATCAAAGTTTATATAGGAACTTTTTAATGCATCGCGCATAGGGGGATTCCGGAACCAGACCTGTTTTGAAGAACCGGGAAATTCGGTACTAGTCTTCCACGGAACCGGAATTCGGTACTTCCGGTACTAGCTAGTTATTGTTCAATGGTGATACATTAAGTAAAGTAGTAAGTAATAGTACTCACGGTTTAAGAAAGGGATAGGTTTCAAAAGCAAAAACGGTCAATATTGGAGCTTTTTTTCATTGAAAACGTAGCACTAGTCAGTCAATTTAGTTTGTACTTGGAATATAAAAAAAAACTTTTGCAAGCAAAGTAACTTAAACTTCCTAGAGGAGGTTGTCTAGAGACAACATAAAATTTAAAATTATCGTTATTTAAATGATGTACTTATACTAAAAATCACAATTAATCAGATCTAAAATCTTTAAAAAAAATGTAACTACTAAAAATTATTATATACGGTCCGCCTTTTAAACTTAAATTACTATTTAGTTTTTTATTCTAAATTATTGAAAATTGGAAAAAAACAGCTTTGACATAAAAAATTTTGTAAAACAATCTTTCTAATGTAAAGGAACTTTTCCACGGCGAAGCTAGACGAGGATTGTAATTTAAATTCTCTTTTAGCGCATATTTGGTGGAAATGGTCTAGATTGAAGAGGATGGGCGAGGCGATAATTGAAAGTATTGAATCGTATTGTTGCCTACATGAAGTACACTCTGCACCGGAAACACGATTTCTCACGCAAGTTCGCGATGGCTATTAATATCGATCGCAGGATTGTAATAATAATAACGCACATACTCAACTCACGAGAGAAATAATGTAGGCCATACAAATATTTCTCCCGGCCCGGGAATCGAACCTGGGACTACTGCGTGGCAGTCCGACATGGTAACCGTTCGGCCACGGAGGCAGTATTGTAGAGTACAGTCGCGTGCAACGAAATATAAACAATTTTGTTTTTTGTTTAATGTGACGATTTCAAGTGTAATTTGATTACCTACGAAATTAAAGATATTTGATTTGATTTGACACATTTTCCAATATATGTAAATATTAGATCCTTATGTTGTGTTTAAAAATATGTAATCATTTTGCCGTTTTAAAAAAAGGTATACATTTATTACAGAGAAAAGTAAACAAATTACAACCTGTGAAATGTATACTATCATTTTCGTAAATATTTATACAACGTGTTTTCATTAAAATGTATGCAATTAGGACTGTATCATAATTATGCAACCACTTTAAAAACTGCGAAATTTGTTAGATTTTAGTCCTAATTTAGTTAGTTAGTTTAGTTATTGTATCGTTTTCAAAAAATGTTTAGTTGCAATATAAAACATACTAGCGCCATTTGTAAACTTTTTCGTATGATTTTGCTAGCTTGGATGGCAACAATATTAGTTTTATTTGGTTAAACTAACCTCAAAACTTTTTTGTTTTACTATGTCCTATTAATTAAAATCGTCCTATTAAAATTGTCTTTGTGGTGCAGCCCACGTGAGATAAATGTACAGTATAATCGTGAAAACTATTGTAATAGATAAAGATAAAAGATTGTAAAACCAAAAAAACCTTTTTACCTCACTAGCTCGGAAAGGCTTTCTTTTTCATTAGAAATCTGTGCGTAATAGTAATTTATGTGAGTGTTACATAATGAAAGGTATAAAAATACGAGTAAGGGTTTGTGAAACGAGCTGACAGGCGAGTTTCATAAAAACATCACACGAATGTTTTAATGCCTAATTATGTACAGTTTCATACACTGCTTTATCTATACATATAATTAAAAGCTCTCTGTGATGTGTTCAGGAACCGCATGTTACGACTGGCAAAATGGCGGCAAATAAAAAGTTCTCGCGCATCTCACGCAATCGTAGTTTTTATTTAATTCATAGATAAACTAGAGTCGGCCCCAACTATCATACCGTTCTCTAACAAGTAACGTTTGAAATTTACTAAATTGTTTGCTATTGACATTTCATTTCGAATAAAACTTAATCTCGACTGATATTAGAATTGAAGTTGAATTAAATTGTTTTGTTTTTCAGAGATGTTCGAAATTTGAATGACATAATAAAATCTAATTCGACGTTATTATGAAGCAATATTTTTTTTAATTTATTAAGGCTTTGGCAAAGCCATCAGCCTAAACATGAAGTTTAAATACGTTTCTGTAAATATGGCCGCCACAAAGAGGATAGGCAATTTGGGGCGGCGTGCTTGGATTGACTCGGGATTCCTTAAAACGGGCCGATATACGGGTATTTTATTTCGAGATTCGTATAATTTCGCGTTTTAATCTTCGATTAAGGCACAATAGCACTATCCTATTCCACTTTAAACTAGATTTCACAAAATAATTGAAAGTCAAAATAAAAACGACACTTTTCCCTCCAAAAGGTCCAGAGCGAATTGAAGCAATAATACCATTTTCACAGATAAGAAATTTGTTCTAACAAAACTGTTTATCTTTATACTGGTCGTAATTTGCGGTTTGAACACATTATAGAGTGTTTATGATATGTGTGTTGATAAAAGAGTTTTTTGCACGCTAGCATCGAAGAGGTTTTTGAAATTCGAACTTGACGATGGATTGTTGTGCACCTAATGTTTCCTTGCCATGAAAAAAAGGATAATGACATATACAACTACGCGATTTGTCGTGACTTATTCATGTAATATAAACCGTTGTTATATTTTATTCTTATTATTGTTGACATTGACTTACAAATAAATGGACGACGGGTCTAATACAAAAACCACGAAAAAATGTCCCAAGTCAACCTATTTAAACGTAGTGACATGTAAAGGAATATGAAAAAGCTAAAACGTTGAATTTAAATTGTAATGTCATCGCAGTACTGTCTAATTTTGCTTGCTTCGCTGTCAGAACAAACGAAGACTAAAGCGTGAATGACGCTCTGTATACGATTTTAACGCCCTATAAGTTCGGACACTTTTTAGCGCGGACCCGACGTCCATTTAATTGTAAGTCAATGATTGTTGACATTAAATTGACAAATGATAACTAATTGTGTTTATTAAATTATTTTAATTCGTAGAAGAACTAAAATAACATCAATAATCACTTAATCACACAAAATAAAAGTTCCAGTAAGAATGAACAGAACGCATCCGAAGATAAACTTTTTCTTTTATTAAAAAAAAACTGATGTAGTACACCTACCATTTTCCTCGCTAAAGTGAGGTGAAAAGTTGTGTGTTTAGCTCGGCAGCAAAGTTGTTTTGCATCTCGTTCCTTGAAACCCACACTACGATCAGGAATCTGTTTTTGACTCAGGTTTCAATACAAGCACTCGCGTCAAACAAAAACTTTGCAGCTTGCTTTGCATAACAAATAACTATTTCGAAAATGAAATGTTCTTATTTTTGAAACACCTAATATTTACATGTATTAGAAAATGTAAGGTTTACATTTCAATGCACGCGCCAGAACGCATGACAAATCATGATTATCTTCATCTGATTCTCACATTAACATAATCATCATTTGACTGTATAATCACTAACTGCCTCAGTGGCCGAAAGGTTACCATGCCACGCAGAGGTCCCAGGTTCGACTCCCGAGCCGGGAGAAATAATTGTATGGCCTACATTTATTTCTCTTGTGAGTTTGGGTGTAACTTGTGGTTGTCTATGTATGTGTCCATGGTACCCGCGACACAGGATATCCCTAGTGCGTAGTAGTGCTATGTTGGGTGTGTGCGTTATTATTATTTAATAATAATTATTTACGGGGCATGTTACTTCAGCCGCGTGTTTATCGCTAGAAACATTACTGAAACGTCACTATCACAGTAGGAGCTCGCGTGAGCTATTAATGGCCATTTCTGGGGGAAAATGGCCAACGAAATTTCTATTCTCGTCTCGCTTCGGTGGTGGAAAACCACTTTAACTTCCTCGGAGAGTAAATACATTTTTACTAGCATCTATAGTCGTTTTGTTTTAACCAAAGATATAGGAAAAAGGATTTTGACCGCGAGAAAGCATCAAAGTGTCTTTGACGCGTAACTAAAACCGAAATTAAACTAACGACGCTGATTCCCGAAAGTATCGGTAGAACCGGTAAACAATTTAGAATTCCTCTCTCTCTGATTACAATAAAAGAACTAAGGGTCGTATTCTAGAACTCTCAATGCTCAAGTCAGGATTTGAGCAGACTTGAGTATGATTTCAAGCACTGGAAAAACGACCCTAATGGCAGGGACTTGAGTATGATTTCGAGTGCTTTAAACCATACTCAAATCCTGACTTGAGCATTGAGTAGAGTTCTAGAATACGACCCTGAGAATTCCCTGTACTTTCGGGACCGGGATTTCCTGGTTCTGAATCGTAATTATGCAATTTGCTTTGAACTTGGTTTGGATATTTTAAATACAAAATAAATAAATGTTTTAGGGTTTGTCAAAACAACTCCTAAATAGGTTAGGGTATCACAATACTTATATAAAGCCTTTTCTATATTCTATTGTACTACTTATGTTTGCTAACTGGAAAGTTGGCATAAATATCCTTCAATGCAAATAATAGAGTGAATCGAAGTTTGTATTGTTTTTTTACCCATCTGATTTGTGTTATACTTGGTTTAGAGGCAAACCACAGACACTAAAAGTCCAAATATATATCAGTGGTTATAATTTTTTGTAGTATAATTAAATCCTGTAAAAAAAGTTTATGGTTGCAACAGGTGGTAAATTATAAAAACTCACCATCTTCCAACTGTAAGCCAACAGTGACATCTACTTCTTCCCTTTTTCGCTCAGTTTCCACCATTTCGAGAGTGGCTTTATTAGGCAAATTAGAAAATCTTATGGTGTTGGTCAGGTCCATTATTTTTTTATGATGCTTCAAATCGTATTGCGTTGCTTGGAACCCTTGTTTAGTGCAGACATCTTCTAATATCTGTGTTCATATGGAGTGATTTGATTATTTGATTGTCACTAATAGGTTTTATTTAAAAACAGAACCTTCTACAGATCACCAATATGCGCAACAAAATAATCATTATTATTTGAGAGTTATTGATCACATATTATTGTGTTTCATCACAGTTGTAGAGAATGCTTGAGTATGGGTATACTCAACGCTTTTAATAAAAAACAATTCGTTTTAAACATGTTCATTGTTAAGTTAAAAATGGGAATTTCGTATGGTGGGCAAATGTTTTTTCTTTTGCTTTTTTATTTTTTTCATTGTGCTCAAAATAAGTTTACATATTATTGATATACTTTTATTATTATTATTATAGGAGTTATGTACTTAAACACGCAATATGATGTGATTGGCCATATATAATGGAATTATTGCTCATATGTCCGGAAATGCGATATCTCGTAATATGTAATTTGGACAAACAAGTTATATATTTTACAAATAAAAAACCTTTCATATAGTAATCATAACTTTCATTATCAGTCTTTTATAATCATATAGAATTTTGCAAAGTAACAAACTAACAGAAGAAAATAACTCTCAAAACTCAACATTTATAGAGAACTGAGGTACTAGTTTTGGTTTTATTGGAGTAATAAATTGGTTTCATAATTACACATAATATAATATCACTAAACAATTTATATACCTACCTATTATTGAACTTACTCTAAATTGTAAATCACTTACATATTCAAAATATTAAAAAAGGGGTACAAAATTTGAAGTTATTTGTCACCACCACCATGTGCACTGGCAAACATAAACCTTGGACAATGGCTGGCGGCAATCCCCACAACATTAAAGTTAATCCCTTCCCTAGTGACCAATATAAATATTAATCCATTTCGCTGTTGTCGTTATGCAATTCCGGTTAGAAACTTGACATCGATAACGTGACACTTGATATTGTGTGATCGACCGTTTGGGTTAGACCTCGCATAACATAACGCGATATCGTGTGATTGGCAATGAACGTGTTAACATTCATTTTTTTTTATATTTACAACTTACCTGTAACATAGTGGTGTCAGGGGTTACGTGGACTATATGCCGCCTTCCAGTTGGCGTCAGAACAACGATATCTTTAGACATTTTTTATAACTGAAAAATACACTAATTTAAAGACTTGAGACCTTTTAAATATGTTCCCAAAGATAGAATTAGAGCAGTTACAGCAAAAGCAAGTTTATACCGATACCGGCTTACAAAACTAGATTCTACTTACCACAATAATATTGTAATACGATAAAGACAACACAAGTATGAGTAAATGATTAATTGCAGTTATAACGCTATTAATACTACGGTGAAACACTGGAAAACCATGAAAATTTCAGAGAATTTAACATGAAATTATGAATTTTCGTCTCGTCATCCCTGAATCCCTGATACAAAAACTACAAACTCTACAATAGCGCTAACGACATAGCGAACCACACGGCAATGTCACTGTCAATTTGACGTTTGAATTCAATGTTGCTAATAAAAAAGGGATTTTTGTCTATTTTTTTTCTACATTATTCATGGAAAAATTTCCATCCTTAAAAAATCCTATTTTTCAGAAAAATAAATATGTTTCCCATACATAGGTCAATGATGTTTCCTTTAATTTTTCACATTTGCTATTGAAATATGTCAAAAGTTTAAGTTACTGAACGAAAACAATGGAGCCAACTACAAGTTGTTATTGGAGGCTACGCTGTTGTGAAATAATTTTACATCCCGTTTTTCTCTATGTGGCTTTAAGATTTAAACAAGTTTATATTATAATTCACGCTATAATAAAACTTCAAAACATATTTCTAAACGTGGAACTAATACGATTTTAATCTACTACAAGAATTCCGATTTTCGAGAACATTTCCGGAAAAATTTCCACTATATTCATTGACTTAACAATTATAGTTATTTGAAATTTTTCAGAAAATTACCCACAGTAATTACGTGGACTACTTATTTAATAGACGTGTTAACTTGAACCGGCCTTTCCTTAAAACGCCCTCAGTTTGGTCCTGATAAGTTCGTCTTTGTCGACCTCTTACGGCCGCTTTCTATATTTGATCCTGAATCTAAGATTGTTTTCTATCCGGATTTTATTCGATCCATCGATCGCTGCCGAATCTGTATTTCTATATGTCTATCTCGGCTCTAGCGCCCTTAAAAAAAAAGGATCGGTCGTAAATTTATTCCCTCTCTGACATTTAGTTCCACGCAATCGGAGTAAAAGATCATTACATGAATTAGTCAATAAAATGGTGGCTATATTTCTAAAATTAATTTATTTATACATGTGATTTTGGCAAAAATATAAACTAATGCAAACTTTCAAGTATAAAATATTTAAACCGTAAGTACGGCAAGAATAACGTGTTTCGAGGAACAGAACGGAACGTCTATTGTCCAGAACGGAACGTTTATTGTCAAACGAGCGGGACGGCCATATAGGATGGAAAAAAATAAAGGGACGGCGCGCGGCGGCGGCGGCGAAATGTTAGTGTCAATTTGTGTTTTGTTGATGTTTGTTCGTATTCGTGACGTGATAAATAATCTAAATTATAAAAATACCATTTTGATTTGACTTTGATAAACGGCATTATTTCAGTTAAAACAAATTCATCTGATCTTTTGTTCAGCCTAAATTTGATGTAAATTCAGCGTCAGTTAAACTTACCATGAAGTTTATACGCCTAAACGTTCTTGAGGACACAAGCTGTTCTTGGTCGCTGTCGCTATTATCCCAGTCCGATAACTGAGCAAATGTTCAAGTTCACAGTCGCTATCACTTAAAAATAACATCCATTTTTACACGATTACACAGTACAATCGGTCAAAATTGGAGGATCGCTACTATCGATTGAACACGTGCGAAATCCGATTTGTCAAAACTATGGATTGCATATTGAAAGCGCACATCTGTCACTACCATACAAATGTCAATCTAAAAATGCCATACGCCCTCCCACAGATGGATTGAAACAAAAGATCAGAATAACGATCCATCGATCGTTTATTGAAATAGTAAAAATAGGATTTGGATTGATTATTCAATCTTAGATAGCAAATTATGGATTGGGATTGAATATAGAAAGCGGCCGTTACCCACATACCCACTCATCTTCGCTTTACAAATCTGTTTCGTCAATCTTCTTTCCTTCACCCTCTCGACATATCCGATCTAAGCATTCCTTTCATTTCCTTGTATCTGTCGCTACATCTTCCTTGTCACAACGCTTTTTAACACTATTCCGGATTTGTCCGTCATTGTCACTGCAGCTATACTTTTCAAAATTCTGATTTCCACTGCGCTAATTCTATTTTCGTGTTTCTTCGCCCAAAAAAAGAATAGGAATTGAGATGTATACATAGCCAGTTGTGAGATTTTATAAAATTTTCGGCTATTCATAAAGGCACGCAATCTTTAGATATTCATTTTCCATCCATGGTCTTCCATTACAGAGCGTGTCACTCTCTTAAATCACTGGTATATA